ATATGAAAGTGATATTTCAAACGTATCAGTCGTAATGATAAAGATCTTTTTATTCATTTTCGTAACGATGAGAATTTGAATTTCATCAATCATCCGTATTTGTATATAAAGAACATATATAAAAATTGAAATTCGAAACTTAATTGCAGAAAATAAATTAATTCATCCTGTTGTTAATATTACTATTTTAATTAATTGTCTATTTAATCCAAAAACAAAACAATTTCGAATAAAATTGATTAAGACTATGCTAAATTAAGTAAATTAAATTAGTCGAATCCATATTTATAAATATTTTTACATAATTATAATACTCTTGGAAATCCAAAAATCCAAAAACAGATAGAAAAAAATAATTTAATTGGAAACTTATTATTTTCAATGACACAGAAATAGTAGCATTTGTTTGGAATCGCCATCGGTTATTAATTGTCAGATTAAAAATTAATGACGTTAGTTGGAATTAAAAAAATTGATTTGAAATCTTTAAAAATTATATTGTAACATGGCAAAAGTTATTAACACGCCAATAGAGAGATGCGTCACGGTTCATAAACAATTTAAAAGACCGGATCGATGCGGTAAAATCGAAAATATTTTAATTACTAATTATCAGAATTGTGAGAGAGAAAGAAAAGCTCGTTAAGAAAACAGGATGAATATACAGCACACACTCACTGTAATCGAAAGATATAGTAGAACAAACGTGTCTCTCCCTCTTGCCCCACTTATTTTATTCAAAACATGTTGTTAAACGATGACCGCGTGATTTAACTTATTCTCTATCGTAACGAATGTTCTTATTTGCAAAAGATTTGCATTCGTTGAATGACACATACTCGAATATCAGTACAAAGTGGAATATTTATTCATAATGCGATTAGATTAAAATTATTTGAAAATATAAATAATTTCAGGAATTTTAAACAATTATTTAAAGGTATTCCAATAATTTTGAAATGAAATCGATTTTTTTTTTTTTGAATTATTAAAATAAAATTTACATTTTAAATAAGACAATAAACAGATTTTTCTGAAACGATTTTGTGTGTTTTTACGACACGAGTTAAATGATTATTTTCGTTAAATTTGATCAATTTTACTTCTTGATGATTTAAATTTTTAATATCTTCTCTCTTTTTGTTATTACAATAACAATAAGGATAATAATTATAGTAACAATACATTTTAAACAATTTATAAAATGAATATTATATTATATCATAAAATATGTGATAAAATATATATGTATTATGATAAATTTGTAGGAATAATTAATTTTACAGAAATTGGCGATTTAAATTTTAAAAATTAAAATATTAAATACAATTCGTTCGTATATTTCAATTTTTATTGTTTCAAATTTGTACGTGAAAAGAAGTAATTGTTTCGAATACGAACGTCTATTTTAAATATTTAACAGCTTTGAGATATCAGTTGAAATATGAGGCAGAAACATGTAACGCGTTAAAAACATCATATATCACATTTTTACTTTTTCAATTTCAAAATAAGAAAAATATCAATAAAAAGGTACAAATATGAAATTCGGATTTAAAATATCTGTTGTAGCTTTTAAAGTTAATAAATGTCAGCACGAATATTTAAATTTTTCTTATAAAATTTATACAATGATAGTATTATAACGACAAAATTATATATTTCACATTTTAACTACAAATATAAATATAAATTTATTATTCTCTGCATTTATTCAAAAATTTTTTAAAAAAATTATTTAATTTAAACTTGAAGTTATAAAATATCTTTCTATATAAAATTAATATAATGATAATGTACAATACCTTTTATTACCTTTTTATATCTTGATTACTATTTTTTTGATAATAACTTTTTTTAAAAAAATAATGTCATTTGATAAATATAATATGACTGTTATCATAAAGCGGATATTTAGTATTTAATATTTTAAAAACTTTTAAACCATACTTTGAGTTATTCTTGACTGTAATCATAATCTTCTTTTAAATATAATAAGTGTATATACATATCGGTCTTCATTTATCCAACAGAAAAATTTCCTAATTGTTTAAGAAGACAAAATTTTTTTCATTTAATGAAAATAATATTAATAATTCTAATAAATCATAGGAGAAGTGCAGTATATTTAGAATACCAATTTGTTTAAAATGAATAAAAAATTGTAACAAATAAAAGTTCATAATAGAAATCATAGAAAAACTAATAAATTTTTATATTTTAAAGTTTCAATAACAATGAAAAAGAAAAGAAATTAAAAGTTTAATTCAATTGAAAAATGATATAAAATGATGAATTTGTTACAATGCAAGTAATTTTAAATAGGAATTATTTAAGTTTACTTTCATATTGTAAAATTAAAAAAACAAACAAAAAAAAATATTGTCTGTTATATATTTAAAAAATCCAAATAAAGAAATATAGGATATTAATATATTTATAATATTAATATTATACATATTATTTAATAACAGAAATTTTTCTTTATTTTATATTTCATATATCTGCTTTATATTTTTTCAATTTTAACAAATATTATCTTCTGCGAATCTATACTTCAAAGTTTCTATATTTCAAAGTTTTCAAATATTATGTTCCATACTTTCCAATATTTCAAATATTCCATAGAATAAAATTACATTAGAATAGAAATAAAAATTTTTCCTCGTTTTTCTGCTTTCCAACAATTTCAAACTAACTTCATTCTATATTTTATTTTATGTTTGCACTCTATTCAAGTCCCAATATACTTTTGAATATTTCAAATATTCTATTTAATTCTTATAATAATAAAAATATGAAATATAAATAATGTAATAAATATAATAATATTATATTAATTTTTACAAATAAAATTTCATTCAATCAAATTATTAATAACTATTAACTATTAATTGATCGGTATCATATTTTTAAATATATGTTGAATAAAAGAAAAAAGGATTATACAAGCTATGATAGTTTGTCCCTAGTAGATCAAGTTCAAAAGAGCTCATCGATGCAATGATCGCAAAGAACATTAGATATGATCGTATCATGCCACACCTTTGTTTCTTTTTAATGTCATCTAATGGTTAGCTGAATGTATTTAAGGCAAAAAAAAAAAAAACATGAACAAGATAATGCAAACCTGTCCAAGGTTTTTTATATCAAAATTATTTCAAAATTATTAATAAATTATTCCATTATTATTCCATTATTGTTACTAAAATAATTAAATAATAAATATTTATTGTTATTATTAAAGACTTTACTTTTATATTTTATTTTAATATTAATATATAAATGTATCTGTGATATAATATTTGTATATACATTTTCATTATAATATATTTCTATTTTTATTATATTAATCAATAATATTACATAAATATAGTAAATATAATAGTAATACTAATAATAAAAATAATTATTATAATATGATCATAATAAAAATAATTTTCTGTAATTATACGTATTAATGTATGTTAATATAATCAATTAAATCTTATTGTACTTTTAACTTAAGATTCAGAGGAAAACAAAAGTTTGAGAGCATTAAGTTCGAATAATCTTGGCAAAACATGTAGATATTTTTTTTTGAAAGTTAATATAGTTTAAATATAAATATAAAAAAAGACTTTGATATTGATTCATAATTTATTTCAATATGTAATATATTTTTTTGTAATGAAACTATTAATAGAACATCAATTATATATTGAAGCATTAAATTGCAAAATAATAAATATTACTTGACGATACGTTTAGCCATTAAATTCAAATAACTTTGAATATTTATGAAATAAGCTATTTCATATAACAATTTACATAAGTAAATTCAATGATATTTTTTGTATTTTGTATGAAAATACAAAATGCAAAAATGCATTTTATAATATAAATTTCAAATGAAACGAATGAAAAAGAGCGATGAATGTACATTTTATCTATCACAAGGATTATTTGAACACGTATCTGTTTGAAAAGCAAATAAATAAATGAAATATATTCGATTTTCTAAAAGTTAAAGCATTGCATATGCAAACATTTTCTTCTAAAATAAATATATGTTCATTATGAATAAATAAAAATAGTTCAAAATACGTGATTTATCAAATTATAAATCTATTAAATGAAATTGGTTGGATTAATTTGTATTTGTATTTATGAATTTTTTAATTAACTTTTTAACTAACGATGTTTTTAATTTTCATAATTGCCAAACATTTTAATTCATTCAATGAATCATTGAATCAGAAAATTTTATTATTTTTTTAGTTTCAAACTAATTCTATGTATAATTTAAAATCATATTTAAGTATTTATCTATATAATCAGAATTTTAATAATGCATAAAAATCTTTAAATTTTTATACTTTATATTAAAGAAGATAACACGAACGTTTAAGTCTTTAAATATTAGTCAATGATAATTGTGTTTGAAAAAGTTCTTCTTTCGTTTTTCCTATAATAAACGATGATAAATCATATTATATTTCTTAATTCACATTTTGAATATAAATAGAATACATCCAATCTAACAGACACGATATAAAATTTCGTAATAAATTAAATTATCGTTTCAAATAGAAGAAAAACAAATAAATCCTAAAGATTTAGAAAAAAGAAATATAAATAGATAAATAATATAACGAAAAAGAATATACAATGTAATATAATAAATTAAAAGAGAAATTTAAATTTAAATATAAATCTTAGAAAAAAAATACATTAAAATAAAAAACTTTTACATAAACATAAAACTATTTTCAGCGCGTATGAACATAATTAAACAAGAATTAAGAACCAGATTTAAACGAATTTTTCAATCGCAACGATATTATAAATCACATTTCTTAGTAATTCAAACAAAATTTCACGTTTCGCAAACATCAAACGAGGTAGTCGGTTAACGCTATGATCATGATGTTTACGCGTGGTTCCAGAATCATATATATATATACATATATATAAAAAGAAAGAAAGAAAGAAAGAAAGAAAGCAACCGGTTGGTTTTCCTCAAAACGATTTATTACGAGATCACTTTAAAATGTATCAGATATAACGAAATCGTATTGCGTCACAATAAACATTGTTCGCAATCTCGCCAAAAACTGACTGCCAAAAACCACATTGATCGATGGTTTCATCAACACGAGCATCGGGCAAATTATCAAAAATCTCGTAAATAGCCACGTGATTCACGGGTGACGTGGGTGTGCATGTCGTGAAATTTGACGCGCGTACGAGTCAAAAGAATCGTAATTATAAAGGTCCAAATGAAAACCTGCACAAAAGATAAAACTGTCGACTGTATTCGCGAGCGTCATCACGCCACTGATAACCCTCTCGTTCGACCTCCCGACACGATTATCGTCGACACAAGAGATCTTTGCCTCAGATTCATACGTATACAAGCTGATCGACACTCCGTAGGAATTAAGGAATATCGAGTTGATTTTCCTCCCTCCGGATAAGGTCACCGAGGATCGGTCCAAGGTCCGATTAGTTTTTGAGATTGGAGGAAACATTTCGGGGAAACGCGGTTGAAGGAAATTGATAAGAAATGATAATTGAGAAAGATAGCCGAGACAATGGATGGAATTAGAATTAGTGCATGGTAATGTTGATTCGTTTTGTCGATCGCAAATGCTAGTAAAAATTAGAGATATATCGAAATCAGGGTTGTCAGAGATTCTGAATTTTATAATAAATTTTCTTTTTTCGATTATAAAACTTTAAATTCTATTAGGTAAATTTAATTGTTAATAATAAGGATTAATAATAAGATATTTTAATTGAAGTTTATAATAATTAATGGCAATATATCATTTAAACAAAAATATATCGTTCATTATGAAATTTTATCTTCTTTTCTTCTTTCTATTTCCGATTTTTTTTAATTAAAAATCTTCAATTTGTGTGAGTGATAATTCATGATATTTCAAACTTTGCGATAGGATAGAATAACAAGTTTAATTTTTAAATTCGCGTAATTCGAATTCGGAATTCTACAAGACTTTGAAACAATGTTAACTTTTTTTTTTTTTCTAAAAAAAATTAAAATTTTAACCTTTTATCTCTAAGAATTCTTCAAAATTCATAATAAATTAGTATTGATAATAATAATCTTTTGAAATTGGAACAAATTTTTATGTTAACGTGAAAATATATTTGAGAAGAATAAAAAAGTTGCTCTTGAAAGTATTTATTACAAATGGCTTCTGTTAAAAGTAATTATTCAAAATTAATTTTCATTTTGAATATTTGTTAAAAAGTTTTAAAAGCTTTCACATGAATTTTATATTTTTTCTCTGTGTATTATAAAAAAGTCATATTAAAATAAGAAAATATAAATGAATTATGATAATTATTGATTTAACTTGATCTAACCAAACATTCATATAGATTATATTTTCACTTGATTATATAAAAGAAGATATATTAATTACGTAAATTGTAAACTTTTTTATAAAAATTTGTTTATAAAAAAAATCAGATCATTCTGTTTTGTTCAATTACAATGAAAGAACAAGAAAAATATCTAATTCAAATTAATGCAATATTGTTATATAATGCAGTTTATTTTAATATATTCATATAAAAAAATGAAAATTAAAAAATAAACATTGAAAATTATTTTTCTTCTTTACTATTTTTTATTTTTATCGATAATTAATATATTAATATTTCATTAGAATCATTACTTATGATTTTTAAATAATAATAATTTATGTTTAGATAACTGGATTCAATCAATAAGATCAAACACTAATTGAAATTTCGTTCCAATTATTATTATTACGAAAAGATGTATAAAGAAAAACAATCTACGTTAATTTTGTACAAAATATAAAAAATTCACATAATATGAAAAAATATACATATGGAAAATATTCGATGCAAAATGTTTATTATATATTTAATAATAATAATATTGCAAAATTCTATACAGATTTCATTTTTTTCTAAAATTGATATCTGAAATCTAACCGTAACTATTCACTTAACACGTTAGTTGTCATGTGACGCACCATATCTTTTTATTTCATATCAATTCTCTTATCATTTACTTCATATTAATTTATTATCAAAATACTTTAAGTTCTTTCGATCTATGATATAGAAATATTAAAACAATATGTTACAATATGTTACAATATGTTTATTTTAAGTGCATGTGATTATTTCTATGTCACAAAATTCGAAAAAAATGTTTTAAATGAAAATTGTATAATAAGAAATATATAATGAAGAATAATCATTTGATCTTGAAGAATAATATTAGAAAATCCTGAATATGAAAATTACATCCTATACAATTAAATTTTTAAACGAAACTCTATATTTTTATTGCATACTCTTGTAGCTAATATTGAAACGTATTCAAAACATTAACTACGTATGTATATTGTTGAGTTATTAACTTTCAAAGTTTACATGCCGTAGGCATTAACATTATCATAATGTACATCGAAGAGATTGATTAATCGAACTTTGTACATAATGATTGTCCTAAAAAGAATTGATTGTGTATTTTAGTCAATATGAACATTATTACAGGAAAGAAGAGATAATATATGGTTTTAACAACATAGTGCACTTTCATATTATACATTAGCAATGAAAAAAAACTTAAGATTAAATGAATAGCAATATCATGATTACCAAGATCGGTTATTGTTCACCATGCATTTCATTTTATAATGCTAACTTAAAGTAAATAATTTATTGTAATCCAATTGAAAATTCATTACATCAATTCATTACGTATAAATAGCGTATGTACGAGAATAATAACTGAAATCTTGAATTAATTAAAAAAAAAAAAATGAAAAAGCAATTTCCAAGATAGATTACAGAAGTGTGTTTTCAATAATGAAAGATATATGGAAGAATAGCCATTCTTAGATTACATTATTTTAAAGCACGCGCGTACACACACACACACACACACACAGAATCGATTCTTTTTAGAACTACCACGATGTAAGTACAAAGTCCAACTTCTTCGTGATGAACATCGAGTACTCGAAGCAAAACTGAATGTTAATAATTAAATTTAAAAAATACACGTATAAATAATATTTATAAATATATCTTATAATAATATAATTATTAATAATATGTAATAAAAAATATATATATACAGTTCTATCTAAAAATTTATATGAGAGCTCTTCAACATTATCTTGAATTATCATCATGATATCATACAAGAGTTTTCACTCGAGATATTTTTTCGCATTTCTGATACATGCAGAAATAATCACGCGTAAATATATTAAATGTAGTTAATACGGATAATAATATAATAATATAATATGATGGCATTGGGGAAAAACATGTTAGATATGGTAAGCGTAAAATCTCTATCTATTTTATTTATCTATAAAATATAAACAGTTTTTCAATTAATTTTAACGTTTTTTTGTCGCAATAAACAATTTATTGAGAATATTTCATACATTTTTCCACCCAAACGAATCAAACATCTATTTATCGATTGCATAACGATTAAATATTAAAAATTAACAATATCAAAACTTTTCTTTCAGATTCATATTTTTCTTTCACGAATGTATAAATCTATTTTCCCCTTTTACTTCTATCATTTCTTCTTTATTTCTCACTTTCTTTATTTATAGACATTTATCACTTGTCTAACCTAAATATTCTAATAATTCTATAATTCTAAAAAGAATATTCATCATATAGAGCAAAAAGAACCATATGAAGAAACGTATGAAACGATTAATTCCTTTTACTTCTACCATTTTTTCTTTATCATCGTCTTTTCTATATCGTTTACCTAAATGCATATCTATGATTCCATAACTCAACTGAGATAAAACAAAGGACTTGTACATGAAACAAATAATTTCTCTTTCTAAACGTTATTTGGAACGAAAACAAGATATTCTCTATCTGTGCTTCATAAGAAAAACCCCCTCACCACCGTTATCATCGATATATAAACCCCCACTATAAAATACAATCTTCGTTCGTTTTCTCGCAATATTTCTTGAAAATAAATCTTTGGTATAATAATGCGTCCACATTCACGAGTCATCGTTTTTCCTCTGAAGAATAATGAAGAGAAACGTGGTACAATTTTTAAAATGGGAACTTAGTCTTTCAAGTCTTATACAACAAAAGATATTCAAACTTAAAAGAGATAGATTCTTATAAAAAAAATCTAAATAGAAAACGAAATTTCTTAGGAATTTTATTTGTAATTTTATTTTATTAATTGTTCCTTTTTTTTCTTTAAATTGTTTCAAGTATTAAATTATATCTAATTGCAGTTTTTTACAATCAATTTTTTATATATAATAATTTTAAAAATAAAAGTTATTTGCTATAAAAATTTAAGATTAAAAAATTCATCAATCTTTATGTCAATACTTATATTTAACACTTTTATTATCGACCTGTCTGTTCCAACTTTAGAACTTTATTTCTAAAATATTATATATTGAAATCTAAAATTGAACAACATCGATATATCAACATAATAGTTTATGAAAGTATTCATTTTACATTGATTATCTTATTAAATGTTATCTTTTATTCTTATTTTATTATCATATCAGAAAAACTCGAAAATCTTAATTTTAATAAAAGTTTGCGTGCATGCAAAACAGCAACCAATGGGTCTAAGTAGCTTGGTAAGCTATATTTTCCCATGTATTTGCTTCATTAGCAAGTGGCGTATCTATTCTTGCTTTCTACGCTGCATTGTATAATGATGTGACACTTGTCTATATACAATAGGAATCCAGTGTACGTGGTTTCACTTATCCACAATTCAAAAATTTACATTCCATGTATAATAAGTTTGTATGATCCTGCGAATTTGACATTAGTTACAATAAAAACTTATAATCAAATTGATTATAAAAACCTGATATAATAAATAAAATATTATTAGGTATATGCATAACACATGTGCATACATATAACATATAAATATATAAGTAACAGGGTTCGTTATTATCCGTAGATTTCTGTGGAGGACCTTAGAGTCAATTTCCAGCGGATACGATGTACATTTTAAATCCTAGAGCACAAGATTTGTCGAACAAGATTTCAGATTTTCAGATTGTTTGACGTCACACTTTCTCGTTTAAGAGTAAGAGGAGAGAAAAGCTAAAACACTGGTGGTGGACACGATAGGATACGTATCTACTACATTTTCACACACGACATTAAATACGAGTTGTATCAATTGAATTTGATATTACGGCTGCCATACAATGTCACGTTGCCACACAATGTCACGACATTGATGACATTTAGTACTTTAATAAGATAGCAATCGCACTCCCCAATTAGTTTTTTCTTCCTCTACTTTTAAATAAGAATGTGACGTCAGATTTTAAAAATTTAAAGTCTCATCTGGCAATCTCAAAATAGTCACAACTACATATCATCCGCATCTCACGTGCGGAAATGAGTCTACGGTTTAAAGATAGGGGAATCGGTGATTTTAATGAGGAGAATAACGTATGAAAGGGGGAATATTGGCTAGGCCTGAGAGCATAATTAAGGTTAAACATGAAGCAATGTTATTTCAACGAAAGATCTGCATTTATAAAATCCATTCTCAAAACTTTAGCACTCTTTAAATAGATGTTTTAAATAGATCTATGTTTTAAATAGATATAATTTCGTTTAAGAATATTTTTTACAATAGAATTAATTGAATTTTAGAAGAAGATTAAAATATGAAGATATATTTTTGAAATTTTGCTTTATCTCGTACTGTTATAAAAGAAAAATTATAGAAAGAAATAATAATAATAATAAAAGAGACATTGAAACTTTACTTTTGAAAAATTCCTTTCATATTCTCAGAATAGAAAGTATTAACAATAAATTTCAGAAAATTTGATATTTATATTTTATAATTAGAATGCTATGTCATACATTAAAAATTTAAATCTAACGTATATATTTTTATTATTAAGTTTCATTTATAAGGAACGTTCAAACAATTTTGTGAACTATTACACATATAAATAATGAAAAATGATGATATTGTCTATAAAAATTATTTTGTTAAAAAAAATTATATGATTACATTAACATTTCGAATAATATTTGTTGTTTCGAACTTGTATAAGAAAATTGATTACGTTATCTACATAATGTAATCAACATGAAACTAAGATTTCTACATAAACTCCTAAATGTTACGTTATCGTGTAGTAAATTATTAAATTTGTCTGAAAACTTCTCCAAAGTTATTAAATATCAAATACAATTAATTAATTAATTAACTACTCCATTATAATGTTCTTATAAGCAAATTTTGATAAATGTAAATATTAAATTTGATGTATTTTGATTTCTTATGTATATAAAAGAAAATTTTAATCAAGTTTGCTTTCAAATTTTGTTAAAGTTTTTTGTATTAAAATGAAATAGAAGTATTATTGCACGTTATTATAACATAATTAAGTAAAATATTATTCAATATTTCTTTTAAAAAGGATATTATCTTGTTTCTTTTAAAAATCTTTTAAAATTAAATCAATAAACTATTTTTTGAAAAAATAATACTTCCATAATTATCTTAAATTTTTAAAAAAAATAAATATTCGATGAAAATTAAAAATATAAAATCAGAATTTTTTTTAAAAGATTATACTTTCATCCAGAATCTGTTTAATTATTCTTAAGCTACATATATATATATATATAAAAGAAAATAAAATTAGAACTCGACGTAAAGTGCTTTTAACAAACTTCTTCTTCCATTTCTCTCTTAAATAAAAATAATACTTCATGAATTTTTTTTGTGAAATACAGCTTCGAGTTATTTTCAACAAGTATATGTACTTATATGTACTCTACAAGTTTATAAAGAATATCTATCTATCATAGAAGTTTCAATTGTATTTATTTTATAATTCTACAGAATCAAATTAAAACAAAAAAAAATATTGAAGTACGTCATTGATGATTAATAATAGATGATTAAATTTCCTGTAAAATAAAAAAATATATTTTACAATTTATTGTTTACATTAAGTAGACTTGAAAGAAGATTAGAGAACTAAGAATTGTATATAATCTATTTTTTTATAATTAAATATAATAATAACATATAAGTTTTATTATTTTTTAAAAATTTAAAATTTAAACTTTCAATTTTTATTTATCACAAAATATTTGCAAATCGTTTAATATATTCTTATAAATTTTTCTATCTGAATTTATTTTAATTTATTATCTTAATTTTTTTTTAAATTTATATATATATGTAATTAATATTATATATAATATTTTTTCATTATGTATAATATTATATATAATGAATAAAAATTATGTACATAATATTAAAATTAAAAATTAAAAATTTAAAATTTAATAATTCAAAAATTAAAAATATTTAAATTCATATAAAAAATTAAAAAAAAAAGTAAAAAGTTTATATAAAAATATATGCATGTTATTGTTATCTATTACAATACGTAATGATTTTTAATATTATCATCATAATGTTTGTTTCCAAAAATCTGCTATCACTTCAAATATCTCTTTTTCTCTTAAAATTTAATCTTTCTTTTTGTTACTCTTTTCCATGTTATTCTCTATATTTTGTGTTACTTTTTATATTTTCTTCTCTACATTATCTTTCAGAAATGTCAAATCTTTTTTCTCAAAAGAAAGGTCTCTTCCTTTTTTTTAAACGGGCACTAAGTAGAGATAATTAGATCATTTCGCAACAGATGAAATTCGTTTTTTGTGTATCGCAATTTGATTAATTCGATACTGATCAATTCGATTGATACGATATCTATTATGCCGATTAACCGGATCAGATCGAGAACGATTTACTCCATTTCGAGGTTCAGAGGTGAATCTGCACACAATGGTGAATTACAACTGACGCGATTTTAATCATGTTCTCTATATTATCAATCAATATTTGACATTGATAACCGATTCGCTATTGATAACGTTTGTTTTCATACCGATGTTTACCTTTTTAAAATCATTCTAAAAGTGAGGATTTAATTAAAATTGTTAAAGAATTTAATCGGCTAATAATCGAAAAGATTAATATCATTTACATTATGTCAAATAATTTAGAACAATATTATTGCAACAAAAATGTTGATTGCACTTATGATAGGATAATTCTTATTTTTGTTTAGTAGAAAAATATTTATTTTATTAAAGAAATATATGAAATTCTTCATACAAAAAATTCATAAATATAACTTCTGATTTTTATTACATATTATTTAATAAACTTTTAACATTCCAATTCTTCTAATTCTTCTAACATTCCAAAAAATTCAAATCATTTTAAAATGTCCAATGTTAAAAAATTATTCTATTTTAAAGAGTTTTTGAAATTTGTATTCATTGTATTCATAAGTAACTAATTTCAACATTAAAAAAAAATTAAATGAATATTTAATATATTTTTTATTAATTTTATTATATTTAATAATTTTTATTAATATAATTTTACAAAATTCCTTTAGTAGTTTGTCTCACAGAAATTTATGAATTTCTAACAATCCATTAATGTCGTCTATTATTTGCAGTTTTTATAATTTTATAATTTACAAATTGATAATTGTAAATATTAAATTATTTTATAATCGTTGTCATTATTATAATAATTAATATAATTATAAATATTTTTTCCAAATAATTATAATTTATTTAAAGATAAGATATATTTATTTAAAAACATTTTACTCATTTTTCAATTCCAACAATTGTGATTGCTCTAATTTCATTATTGAGATTCGAAGCATTTTTTCGAATCGTAATCATTTTTAATTCGAATTACTTTTTCTTATTTTTTAATTTTTTTTTCTTATAAATTCAAAATAATATTTTAATTTTAGTGTATTAATTTCATCAAAAATAAAATATTAATAATTTACTTTTTTTTTTTTAAAGAAATTCCATTATTAAGTGGATATTAATTGTGGTTTATTAATTTCTTAATTCCTATCTATAATATAATTATTATCTTTTTTCATTTTGAAAGTGATCATTAGCTTTAAAAATAATATATATAATATAATAATAATAGTATCTATGAAAAGACATAATTTCCAGTAAAAATTAAATAATATTTATTTTTAATAATTAATTAATATAAAAAATTATAAATATTACTATTATAAAATTATAAATATTACTAATAAAATATATTATTTCAAATATTTTAAGTTTTTTAATAATATTTTCATAATATAATTCATTGCATAAATTATGCTAAATTAATTTCATTTCATTTCATTTCATTTTAATTTTAATTTTATACAACAATCTCATTCAGTCAAAAAAAACTAGTAGGATAAAATTAATAATAAAATTTTTAATTTGAAAAAAATTATTTTATTTAATATAAAAGAAAAATAGAAAAACTTATATCTCTATTGTCATGTATATATTCGTGAAAACTTAGTAAAGAAATTCTCTACATGAATATCTTATTAATTATATCATTTTGTACTTATCTCGTTTACAAATAAAATTGTTTTTTATTATTTTTCTTCAAGAAAAGAGATATATATTGTGCAAGAAAAATTTTTAAAATAACATTGGAACATATATCTAGAAAAGAATACAGAGTTGGAAAAGTTATAAACAGAAAATTAAAAAAGGTGACAAGGAAAGTATAAGAAGAAAGAGATTAGATGATTAAATAACAATGTAAATAAGAGAAATAAAATAATTAAATAAATAAAAAAGATAGAAAAATATGAAATAAAAGTTAATATATACAACTATAGATGCAAGAGATGTATGAATAAGAAAAATGTTAGCATATAAAAATATTATAGAATATGTAAATTTATATAAATCCTTTATTTTTTTAGCAGAATAATAAATTAATAATCTATTGTTTTTCTTCTATTATATAATCTATTCTCCTATTATTAATAATCTATTTATTATTATTTATATTAATTATATTATTTTTCTTTTATTATTATTCCTAATATGAATTTGTAACAATGACTAATATTTAAGTCACAAGAAACAGATGTACTGATTTGTTACAAGATTTGTTAATTAGTGTTACTGTTGTAATCGATTTTAAAATTTAAATGATTTTTATCCTTGTAATATTCAATAATAAATATTTAAATGATCTTCAAGTGATATTTTCTGATAGATACGTACAAAGAACAGACAAAAATTATCACTTATTAAATTATCAATAGATATGGTCACATGTAGAAAATATGTGTCAATGATCATCATGAACAAGCTTAATCAATATTGACTTTTTCGATAATACTTTTTGTTTATTCAATATACATTAAAACTTGTTTAAAAATTAATAAATAAATTGTAGGAACATGTGTAACAAGAAAAAAATATCAATGGTTACAAAGGAGAAAAAACATTTGAGTAAACTGTAAATAATTAATTTTTATTTTTTATTTAATTTTAATTTTTTATATTTTGATTATATCTATTCTTACTATACAATTTTATAAAATTAGAGTTAATAAAACACCTCCATTTCAAAAATTACACAAATATATAATAAATTAATCATTTTTCAAAATATATTGCTAAATTAGAATGAGCATAATAGTAAAGCATTATATTAAAATAATATAAACAGAGGAAAACTTTTATTTTACGAGAATATTTTTATAATATTTCATTTGGTATCAATTAACAGAAAAATTCTTGAGTTTTGATAAAATTATTCAAATAATATCAATTTTATTAGTCAAAAAATTAAAAAAACATTACTCTTTAAAATTAATTTTTTAATAAATAAACATAAATAAACACAAAACAATGTAAAAATAATTCATAATGAAAACTCACATCTTCTATTCAAATGTCTACTGAACTTTTCTAAGTAAAACCGCAATATAACACTAATCAATATAACATTTTTTCAGTAATTCAATCTTAATAGAACAATACATCATCTTATATTATGAGAGAATGACTCAGACATAGTATGAAGATACGAATAAATAACAATGTCAAGGTCAATATATACTATAATATCAGAATTCCAGTTGTCAGGTTATATGGGTGTAATACACGTCGTTGTCATGTGACGGAACCGTGATAATCTGAATCACAGTTTATTAAGTGTGCTAGTCAAATGGAAAATTATCATGATCGCATAAAAGTAATTTTCATAATAGAAAGATTGAAAGATTTTTTTCTTTGATTGGAGACATGCTAATAACATAATTCTAATAAATGAATAAAATGAATTATCTATATTTTAAATAAAATAAGGAAAAAGTAGGAGAAAATTTTATACTTGGCATTATTATTTTATACTTATATATCAAAAATATCTTATATATCAAAAAAATTATATCTTATATAAATTATTGTTTTTTTAAATGATACCATACGAAATTTTTATATAAATCGATTAAAGAATAAAAATTAAAGAACTTGATTTAAGATATAATGATTGATAATTATTAATAATTATTTTGAGAATAAAAAATAATATAAATAATAAATATAAAATAATATCATTGAAAAATTTTTCATCAATATTTAATTTTTTCGAAAATTATTAATAAATATTTTATAATATTTACATTTTTAAAAAAGGTTTTGCAATTGTATTCTAAATACTTTTTTTATGAATTTTATGAATCGTTCATATTTATAAAAATGCAACCGTTTTTTTCTAATACGAATAGATAGCTTGAATATAGATAGTTCAAAAATGCTAATTTTCTATATTTATATTTAGTCGCAATATATTTAACTTAAATGATAAACAGAAAAAAATTAGTGTAAGTACAGTATGTTTTGTTTAAAGTGATCTATGAAATTATCTCTCAAACTATACATTATTGAAAAAAATATTTAAAATAAAATTTATTTTATTTCAAAAGAAATAATGATAACATCTTATCCAAGTGAACATATATTTTTTAAATTTATAATTCATTAAATTAATCTTCATTTTCTTTTTTTTTTTTTTTAATAAAATATGTTTTATATCTGATGGATATATAATTTGTTCTATGAATTTATTGATTTAAATGTATTGATATTCCATTAATGTCATTTACCATTCAAAAATCTTAAATATCTCCAAGATTTCGTTCATCAAAGATATTTCGTTAATTCGATTGTAAACATAACTCGAAGTTACATGAAGTTGAGTGAATCAAAGATTCCGAATTTTTTTTTATAAAGTGACATTTCATAAAAGATCAAATTTATCAAGGAAGAACAAAATACTCCTAATAATATGAAAAATTGTATAAGAAATGCCTATCAATAAATTATTTTTGCAATATTAAAGAGGATGCAGCTATCTTTTAGAGATACAATAATGCATTGAGGTCACAACAATGACATTTAAGGTCAATATTTTGAATATCAAAGATAAGAAACAATTTCTGGACTTTCAACGAAGATAAATTTTAAACGGTAAGAACTTTCAATGATCTTGTAACACGAATATATGTATATCAATGAATTTGTCATCGAAGAATATATACATCTATCAGAATAAAAATATTTAAAAAATAAAAGTCATTTTGAAATCTTGAAGAATATGTGCATTCAGATAAGATTCGTTACTATCCCGTTTAAAACAAAACAAAATTTTATTTTTTCAATAATAATAAAATACTCTGTATTAATAATTTGAAAACAATGTTCTTTAAAATTATTATGAAAAATATATACAATTAATTATATAAAAAATGCATATTAGATTTTGAATGAGATTTTAATTAGAAGAATAATAATTTAGAGATAAATTATTAGTTCAATATAAGTTCAAACCTAAATTAATAATTCTATGTTACAATTGTATATACATATATACATTCGATATAATTTATTATTTGATATCACATGAATCTAAAAAATAATAATAGATCTTTACCAACAAGTCTAATAATTGTAATGATCTACATATTAAATATCTATAATATATTCTTTTTATTTTTACATTTGCATATTAACTAGTTAAGATAAAAAATAACCAATGATGAATAATTTAAATAAAACTAAAAATATTAAATTACCAATATAAATTATACATATATCATTTAAATAAATTTAATAAAATTTCAACAATGATTATATGTTATAAAAATTAGAAAAAAAATAATTAAATAAAGTTTTTTGTAATTAAAAACAAATTTGTTTTATATTTTTGTATACATCATTTATATTATATATCTTCATGTATTCTTGAACCAAATAATATTTAATAGATATTTACTATATATGTAAAAATAAAAATTATTCATAGTAATAATTTTCATGAAAATGATACAATAACTTTCTCTAAGAATTCTAAAATTCTTCGAAAAATCCTACCCGAGAAAAATTTATAAAATCAATAGAAAAGAGATGAATCATGAAATAGGTATATAGATAATAGAGAAGAGAGATCATTTCAAGATTAATTCGTGATAATAGGAATTCGACATTAGAATCGGTTGATGCTTCGGAATCTATAATATATTCGATAATTAAATCAACCGTTATTATAAAATACCTTCACGATATCAATTATAAAGAAGAGTAGAAGAAAATATGAATTATATTTAAGGCATTTCCTAACCGTATATTCAGAACAGATACAAAAATAAACAAGTAGAATCCTCACTGAATCTTTGCAAATGCTAACTAGATAATTGAATTGTTTCTTAAATTCTATATTTTATGCTAGACTTCTATGTCATAATAATTAATTTATATTTATAAATAAAGAAAAATAATTGATATATTAAAAAATAAATTCGTAAATAAATTATTAAATTTATAAATTTTAATCTTCTTTTCAAGTTGGAAATCCGAATAATAAAACAACTCATCATATTAATTGATTACATAGATGGATTGAATATTGTATAAAAAAATGTATCATATAGAAGATATCAGTTAAAAATATTAATTTTGAAATCTTTCGTGTTTAGTAAATACATATGTAAGAAAATCTATCGTGATTGCTAACCTAACCTTTTACTAACCTAAATATGATTAGATTAATGATATAAGAATCAAGTTATATAATCTTACAAAAGAAAAGTTAAATAAACAAGTTTCATTTTCAGTTTAAATTTTCAATCCGTTTTGTATGTAAAATCACTTCTTCCTTAATTACGTCACAGTTTATACATATAAATACTTGTGATTATAAAATTAAGCGTCAATATACAAACTCAATTAATTATATTTCATAAATTTGATATATTTAATTAGTGATTAATTAGTGATTTTCAATATTAATATGAATTTTCAGTTTAAAAACACAATTTTGTGTGAGAAAATCCTATACTATTTTTAGATTTATTTTTTCACATAAAATTATAATTTTTAGATTAATCCAATGTATATATTACGATCACTATTGCATTATATTATATTTCATTTCATGATCACACGCAATTGACACGCGAGATGGTTCTTATAATTATCGATTGACACGAACCTGACACGAGGAAAGATCGAAGAAAGCACGCGCGCCCTCTTGGTTCGAAAAATAGTATTTTATTTTGGTTCTACAAATAATATATGAATCATATTTATATATATTGAAGAGAATTTTACTATTGTGACAAATGTATATAGAAAATTCAATTACTTACATATTCAAAGATATCTAACCTAATTTTGTATTGGAAATAATCGTTTAACAAAAGATATATTTCTTGCAAGAGAAATGTTTCAATTTCGTCGAATTTCTATTAATAATATCCATTATAAAACATTATTTTTACTTATATTTCAATATCAATAATTTGAAAAGAAATTCATAGATACAATAATTTTTTCTAACAAATTAATTTTTCTTTCTTTTTTCTTTTAAATTCTATGAAATGAAATAAATTGATATGCTATGAAAGTAAGGTTAAGTGAATTGTTTGTCATGAATGTTGATATGAACACTATTGTTTATTTTTATTTTTATATTTCTTCTTTTTATAAATTCATGGTCGTAATCAAACGTAATATGATAATTCTATGAATTCGTAATATATTTCTCAAATATATGATATTTCTTACAGTTCTTGCAACATTACATTGCTTTTCCCTAATAATATAAATATGTATGCGATGTTCGAAACGAAATTACTTGATCTAGTTATTCTGTACGTTATCTTTCTATCAGAACTTTGTTAACAGTAAGACATATTTAATCAGCATGTAGTAAATAGATATTTTAACAATGATTGACTGTATATGTATGTACAATCTACATACTCTATAATGTTCATTGCAACTCATGATATGTTAACAACAATATTCTTCATAATACATGTTTTCATACATATTGACGAAAATATCTTTGCACATATCGTCGTGCACTATCGCTGGTATCAAGAACACAAAAAGGTCAGCGTAATTCGTGAAAATGAAGATCCGTAAATAGTCGATATTATGTCTTTTGATATTTTCGTTTCACGAACGTTATTATAATGCTTTGTGATATATAAATTTAACTTTAAAAAATAAAAAATTTAAAAGAATATAATTATAGGCGCCATTGCTGATATGAATAATTTTTTATATAACAAGAGATTTATTTTTTATTTTTTTGAATATTAATGCATTGATTTAAATTTGGTTTTAAATTTAATCCTCATACATTTCTTTTTTATATTTATGAAATCCAAATAATAAAAAATAATTTCAAATAAAAAAGATGTTTAATTGAAAATTTTATCTTTATTTGAAAAACTTTCTACTCAAAAGTTTTTATGCAACTAATATAAAATTCTAATTTTTTTTGAACGAAATTTTTATTTATTTACATTAATATTGATTATAATATTTAATAAATTAGTATAATTAATTAGTATTATTATTATTTTTATTATATTATGTATAATAAATTGCATAAAAATATTATATCATATATATTTATATTTATATTATTATATTTATATTATTATATAAGTTAATTGTTCACAAATATATAATAATCATAAATTTTTGAATGCAATATATAAAATAATAATAATAAAATAATAAGTACTTCAAGATATATTTAAATATATCTTTAAAAAAAGAACATTTATTCAACTAATATGAATTATAAACCGAATTCCATATTAGCAATAATATATTTATACATTTTTTATATTTGTAAAAAAATCAAAAAATTTCGTGAAATTTCTTTTTATATAAATAAATATATTTTAAAAATATCAAAATATCTTAAAATCGCTATAATAATCATCTAAAATTAAAAGAATAAAAAAACTCATATATAAAAAATTATAAAAATATTTTTTGATTTCACAAAAATGTTTATATTAAAAGATTAAATATATTTAAAATTCTTTCTAATATTCTAATGTCATATATTTTCTGCTACAAATATATTCCATTGAAAATCATATATAAATGTATCATTTTAATGTCGATTTTATTGGAAAGCTAAAGTTTACCAGCAAAATTTCGCATTAGCGTCTTCTTTTTTATATTTTAAAAAATAAAAATATGTTATATGGGGTTAAGAAGGACTTTATTATTCCTATTATCATAAGAATATAAAATTTGTAAAAAGAGAAAACATACCTTTCGAGACAGAAGACCTGCTGTTGGCGTACGATCATTAGGATCAGATTCAGGAATTGGCTCATCCCGGTTTTCCATGTGCATACCCGGCCATCCGACCCAGACTCCATTTCCACTTATGACAACCGGTGCTACTGCTGTCACAAGTCCTCCAGCACTAAAACGTATAAAACGTACTAAGATTATAGTGGATTATATAAGAAAAGTATTCTCAAAGAGAAGAAAAAAGAAAAAGAAAGTGTTGTCAAATAAAAAAAAATAATATGCATATAATAGCATGAAAAATATCAATATAGAAAAATAGATTTTATGAAAAATTCATATCCATAAATAAATATTATTCGCAAAGATTGTTTAAATTAGAATATTTCATGAACTTTAAGGACAATCTTTATTATGATTTTATGACCGTTATATTTTAAAACTCAAACGGATTCTAATGTCATTGGAGAAAGACAATATTGCGATACAATTTATGTGTAAAAAAACCAAAGATATTTATAAAAAAAATATAAATGCAAGAAGTATACATGTTTTTCAATGAAATTTAAAAAATGTAAATTTAAATTCAAGATTCCTTTATATCTATTATTAATTAAATATAATTCTATTCTTTTATATTTGTTACTAATTAAATATAATCGGATTGAAATTTTTAAACAGATATAATAACAGATATAGTATATTTATAATTAATATTAATAGATATGTATATTTATATTAGTCTGTTAATCGCGAAACACTTGTTAATCTTATTAATCATTAAAATATAGTATTATTTATATTTTTATTAAAATATTTGGTCACATAGAGTATTTTAAAACAATAAGATCAAAACATAAGAAATTAGAAAAAAGCAAAAGATATATTTCAATAAATAATTCATCAGTTGATCGTTTTCATAGAATTTATAAGATTATCTAATGTGAAATCGATATTATTTCAATTTTCTTGAAAACTGTTATTTAAAAACAATTATAATTAATTATAACAATATAATAAAATAAATAACAATTATAATTATTTAAAAACAATAATAATCTTATAAAGAATTATTAAATGTTAATTTTATATTATATGATTTTATATTTATTTTAGACCCATCAAATTTCTAATAATCTACATATAAATACTATATAAGAAATGGGATAGTATGCAAATGTTTTGCTTATATTATTAGATAGATTTTGTTAACTGATCTTTTTTAGCAATTTTTATTAAAATTCTAGTAATTACCGGTTCTAACCAATGAATTATCGTCATATAATAATAATATTGAAGATACCGACATAACCTATAAAAAAATACCCTGCATGTAAATACAAAAGTTCACCAAATGGCCGCTATTAGCGTATCGAGCGATAAAACAGGGATAATATTGAAAGACGTCTTCGATCAATTCTCGTTGTTACGGTTCATCGAAGTATATATAGAACATATAACCATATTTACATAATGACAAATACATAGCAATTGTGTCAATCGCACGAGTACATCGTACATTCTCGTTTTTATATAATTAATTGTATGATCCATCTTTGAATAGTTTATCACCATTATTAAAATTGATTGATGAATAAAATAAAAATAATTATAAATGAGATATCATGTTTTTAATTTTCAAAAGAAAAATGGTAACATTGTGATATTGTTATATTTTTTAATTCTGAAGTTTTATAGTTAAAATAAATATTCTAAATTTTAAAGATCTAAAACTTAAAAGAAAATGTAAATAGTGCAATATTTCTGTATTTTAATCTAATCTGTTAATTAAGAATTAAAGGATATATAAAATCAAAATATACTATTATAATTGTACTATATGATTGTATAATTATTACAACTATAATTCATTTACTGCGATAATTTGTTTGAAGTATAAATTTTAAGAATATTACAAATTAAAAAATATTTAAATGTTTATTAAATGTTTATTATATTTAAATGTTAATTTATAAAATCATTTAAATGCAATAAAATGCAAATAAAATACAAAACAAGAAAATATAGAAATAATTAAATTTTAAAAATCTATTTTCATTTTATATTTAAAAATAAAGGAATGCAAGAATGTAAAAACTACATTTTTTAAGAATGATAAAATAAATTATTGACAATAATTTTTTCTTATACATTTCAACATTAAAAAATTGCATCATTATATCATAATACCAAATCAAAATTCGATCATTTATTTAATTTAAAAAAATTTTAATTTTATGACGATTAAACGTAACATTTTTTTTATTTCCATATTAAAACTATCTTATAAATAATAAATAGTTCTATTTTTTTTTACCGAATTTAAATAACAAAATACTTTCTCTGTTACATATGTAAATCTCTATTATATATTTCGAATTATTAACTTGCATTAATCGTTTTTCTTATAATTAAGATTAATTTTCTTATCTTGTACGAGGCTACATTATTTTATTACTTATTATTTTATTACTTAAAAATCTTTATAAACAGAAATGTAAATTTATCTTATTATTATTTTATCAACATTATATATCTATCTATTTTCATTAATATATAAACAACTCTTGTAGACAATTGTTCAAATAAAAACAACTCGAATATAAAATTATTATTTCATTTCAATAACGATCAAACTACAGATTTTCCGGGATGGCCGTGAATCAATGCGCCCTTTTACCTTGGCCCACATATCTAATCCAAACCTATCTCATCGCAAAGCCCGTAAATGGGCTTGAATGTCGTTGACTATATCATTGGCACATCATAATTATAAATTTGTAATGGAACTTGGCTATCATTCAGCATATCTCAACGCAACAAAGACTGATCGAACATCTAACATCCTGATCGTTCGCCAAAGACTAGGTCAAATCGAACAATTTCCACCAGAAATATATTTTTATCTTTGTACATACGTATAAATTTCTTTCTGATAAATTTGTTTCTTCAGATTTTTTGATTACGATTTGTTTAAGTGAGTTTGAAAGTGTGATGCAATTCATTGAAAATAATCTAATTATTAAAGAATTATATATCAAATTATAATTTAACATCCTGACCTGATATCGATTTTAATTGTAACGAAGCGTAAATTCTTTTATATTAAAAAAATAAAATATAAAAAAATTATATCTGATATTAAAATATCAATTTCGCTATTATTTTCCACTATGTAATTAATTGATAAATTTTAATATTGATTGAAATTATAATATTAATTGATAAATGGATAACACGTGACTGCACGTGAGAATTTCGTTGACCAGATGCGTTACTGATGTTGTAGCAAAGAGGAAGCAATTGATACATGCTATTATTACAACTGAATTACTCGAATGCGATCTATTTTGAGAATACCACGATTTCAACGCGTACATATGCGTTTCAGCACGAGTGAAGCATGCTCGAATTATTTGCGCTCTTCACTGTGTAACGATCGTGTTCGAAAAAATGATCTCTTACGCTTTTATTCGTGATAGATATCAGGAATTCTCAAACGGGAGAAAAAAGAAAAAATACTTGTCTCGTTGCCTGTTATTTTTAAATGCACATTGATTAACGCATTCGTTGAAACAATATTATTCAATCTCTATCCAATTGAATTAATTATATCATTCAAAATAATTAAGATATCGATAATGATTATTTTTAATAAATAAGATAAATTATTAATGAATATTAGATTATAATATGGTACTTTAATTTTCTTTAATTGAAATACAAAAAGGAAAATAATCAATTTTAACATGTAAATCAGAAATCTCATTGAAATTAAAATGATATAAATGAAATATCAATCATTTCATGTTACGTTTAATGATGCATATAGAATAAGGATAGATATGTGTGATAATTAGTTCAAGGATGTCTATATTAAAACCAGAAAAGAATAATTACTTTTTATTTATATCTTTTCAATTATATATTTATTTAAAAAATATATGTATATAAATGCAGGCAAATAATAATTAAAAAATATTTTGAAATGTTTAAGAAAAATTATATGTATAATAATGTTTACATGTAATAATTTCATCTTTCTAAATCATTTTTTAATTAAATAAAAACTAATAATATATATACTTAAATAAATCTCTCAAGATGTCAAATATTTTAAAAAAACAATTCTTTATTCATTAAAAATAAAAATGTGAGGAATAAACAGCCATGTATTAATTTTAAAATTAATTAGAAAAGAAACATAAAATAATTGAATTGTTATATTTTCAATATAAAATTAAAAATATTGAAAATTATTAAAAATTCATAATACGTTTCGATAAATAGTATAATCTTATTTTATTTTACTTTTAAAAGTTCTTTTATTATTTAACAATTTATAAAAAAAATAAATATAGAAAAATAATTAATAATCATTTCATTACTACAAGTACTAATGCAAAAAAAAAATTATAATTGTTCAAAAAATTTCGAATCGTTATTAAATTTTCGTTAAATAAACTGTTTACTCTATCACCTTATGTACTAGATTTTATCCGTCATCAGTGATCACTTGCACTCGAAGTTCGTGTTTTTCCACAACATTTATATGTGTCTGCCGTACAATCAAGGAAGAACTTAATGACTATGACAATCGTGATAATATATTACACGGCGCATGTAACTCGCGCAGCCAGACACGCGGAAAGCACGTGGTTTCAGCACGCTGGCAAATACTTCGTGAATGAGTGCATGCATCGTACAAGTCAATTTATGATGTTTTATATTTATCGAATCTTCTAAAAATGATTATTGTCGTTATAAAAAAAATATCCCAGTTCTAACGAATAGCGGTTATACTTAACCTTGAAGAATAAGTACATTTAATGAACGTTGGAAATACTGGAAGATTTCAAGGATTAAGAATAATTTGAAACAAGTTATCAGATAAACATATTACGTAACAAAGAACATAATTGAAAACAAAGAATCAACAGTTATAGATAAGAATATTTAATGAATGCAACGTGATCGTTTTTCATGTAAATCGTGTAACATGATTTGGAAAATTTCCATGGAATTTTTGCATCACGGTTTATACGATTACATTATCATTAATATGAATTTGTTTTCATCACAATTTCTCCTACCTCTCTTACTTTTCTGTTTTGGTTTATTTCGATTTATTTATTTTTTTTACTTTTTTTACTTTTTTACTCTAAAGCCATGATC